AAGAGCAAGGGAGATCATGTAGCACAATAATTGGAGGCAAGGATGGGAACGAATATGCAAGTACAAGAATGAATCATTTGACTGTGCTATTTGGTTTAAACAGGAACATTATCATTGACACGTACGAACATTGAGACAGAGTAATATTATGTCAATGAATATATGTGTATGTATAAATATATCTAAACACTTGACCATTTATAATATTCTTGAAATTTCGCGACTTTCGCGACAAATATGTCCTGATAAACAGATAAGTTAAAATTATGCCAAAAGAAAATTATGAAAAGCGTGAGGAAAATGCTAAGATCAGTCGCACTAAGACAAATTTCCTGCCTATTATTTAATATATTTTTGAAAAGTAGTTAATTTTTGGCAAAAAAAAAAATCTATAAGATGAGATGAATGAATGAGATAGAAAGGTTTTTTGAAATTATCATTTGAATTTAATTTAGGCTTTGGAGTACATACATTTGGCGATTTTCGTGGTTTAGCAATGGTTATGCGTGTGGTGCGGATAATGCGAGTAGCACGAATATTTAAGCTTGCACGTTATTCCAGTGGCCTGAAATCATTTGGTCTTACTGTTAAAACTAGGTAAGTGATGAATATCTTTCAGCAACATATTATTATCATTCAATGATAATTGGAAATTATTTTTCAATAATATTTAAACTTCTCAAATTTTTTTAAAACTTATTTGCTACTTAATTTATTATTACTTTTTTATTATTGTAAATGTTGTAGTCTTCCGGAATTATCAATGCTTACACTGTTTTTATTAACAACAGTAATCTTCTTTTCAACTTTAATGTATTTCGCTGAACGTGATGAACCAAATACAAAATTTAAATCAATTCCACATGCTGGCTGGTGGTAGGTTTCATTATTATTATACTGTATACTTTTTAAATTCATATTTTTACAAGTAAGCGTACGTTCTCATTTCATTTGACTCATAAATGCAGGAATAAAATAAATGATGAAATTTAATCTATTCTTAATTTAATCAAAAACATTCATTAAAAAGCATTGAAAGATAATAATCAAACATTTCCCTTGAATTTCATAAGCGCAACTGTTGATAAATAAAAACAGTAGCTATGATTATTAAATAAGATCAGTGAGGATTACATTAGTTCATGATAGACACCATTTAGTTTAATCTAATATTTAGATTTAATGATTAAACATTTCCGATTGAATATATATTTTTTAATAATTCTTTCATTATTTTTCAATAATTTTTTCCATATTGTAATTAATAATAATGATAATGCATTTAGCTGAGATTTCATAAGCACAATTGTCAATAATATACTTGTAAATAAGTCAGCAAATGATTTTCAACCTTTAACAAAAGTTAAAGGTATTTTTTTTTAGGTGTATTGTTACGATGACAACTGTTGGTTATGGTGATTATTATCCAGAAACATTGTGTAATTTTTCATTTTTATACTAAATGCAACAAAAAATTCTCTCATATTACTTTTTCAGTTAAAAAAAAATTTTAAATTTCAAACAAGCTAAAAAAAATTTCCTATCTTTTTTTGGTTGTTAATAGAAAAATTCAAAAATTTAAAATATTTATTTTTTTTTTCAGTTGGTAAATTAATTGCTAGTTGTGCCAGTATATCTGGTGTATTGGTACTTGCATTTCCAATAACTATGATTGTTGAAAATTTCTCGCGTAATTATGATAGTGAAAGGAGTGATTTAAAACGAACACAGCGTCAACGACGAATGGCTAATGCTTTTAATTAAGTAAAAGTTAAATAACTGTATAGTACCTTCTTTTTTCAACAATGAATTAAATGATCTAATTGGTATGATTTAAATGTTTTTAGATTGAAATGCATTAGCTATTTAGGAGTTTTAAATGTGAGGATTCTGATCTAAACGAATTCAATAATCATCCAATTAAATTATCATTTAATATTCGATGTATAATGATAAAGCTTAAGTAGTAAATATAAATAGATTAGCTGCGAGAATAAATTATCTTTGATTTAAGCAGATAAAATTTCAAACAATTGCATAATTTAAATTAAACCAATTTCATGCTATTCAATAAAATTTATGAGACAAAATAATCTTAAAATTTTTTGGGAAATATTTTCTCATTCATTTCTTTTCTGATGCTACATCACTGATAATATTTGAAGTTATTAGTTTAACTTTCATTCTAATTGTACGTTTTTGAGGTTTTTGTAATCTACAATGACAAATCTATTAATTTTTCATTTAATAATTAGAAGGAATTTTAAATTTAATTAGCTGATGCCACTAAATGCACTCTATATTCATTTACCAAATGTGTTTGATAAAATCACTAATATCTGTTGATGATTGTAGTTTTTACAGGGTATGATTGATGAGGTAGAGAAATTTACCTGTTTGCCTATAATTATTTGCATTGATATGGTTAACTTATTATCAAAACTATTGCCCAAATAATTTGGTCCATGTAAATGCATACAGGTAAAATGTCTTCATGCATAATTTACCTTAATTCAAACTTAATCATCTCATTAAAATGAATATGTGTGAAGGCATTTACAATCACTACCTCGTCTTTTCATGTAAATAAAAAAGTGATGTTTATTTTAGTTTTTACTGTTCATTGAAATTTCAATTTACTATATTTTTGATGATATTTTTGCACGAATAGCATAATAATAGATGATCACAAAGCTTTCAAATTTGATTTTCTTTCTTTTTTTTTTTTTAAATTTGTTACCATAATTTTTTCTTTATTTAACAACGAAGTATGAAAAATAATTCAATGTTTGAATTTTTTTTTCCTTAATTATTCGACAATATATAAATTATTCATAGTAGCAAAGGAAAAAATACTAGCTTTGTATCTGCTAGTTAATGTTATATTTGATTTGCATAATTTGTCCATTACAAAAATTAAACAATTGTTTTGTTGATATGAAGTATAAATTTAATAAAAGTCAATGATCTAAAATAACTGAAATGATGTTTTTTGCAATTTCATATTGATAATAAAACATATCATCAATATAATCATTATAGTATGTATCATGAAAAATATTTCAATCATTCTTGAGTTACGCTAAAAATTGACAGGGAATGCTACTTTGTCGTTATTGTTATAAGATTATATGTGAATAGTTTAATACTTCTATCATTAAACACTTGAAGCAATTTTTATGACAGATAAAAGAAATATTAGAACTTATTATATGATAATACATGCTGTAAAATAGCTTGTCCGAATCAGATTACACTTCAGATGACGCCATACAGCTATCGTATAGGTGAGCTAAAATTTTCAGTCATATTTATGTATACCTGAATATATCTTATTTGTTTGCAACAAATTTTACAAAGCAAATTGCTTGCAGCTAAATTTTTATTTATCATTATAATCAGGGATCGATAACTTCATGTTGAGATTATAATGAATTCTTACATTATTACAGTGCAGTAGTTAAATTTCGTAGTTAAATTTCAAAAAAAAACTAATAATCTAAAAATTTCATGTGAATTTTATAAATTTTATTTCATAATGGACGGTTCATTTATATCATTAAAACTGTTCCTTGCTTGATAATTTGCTGCTTTCTCGACTATTTGTTTCGTGTTCAAATCACTGTTATAATTATATCCATATCATCTAACAAATCATCCAATTCATCAGCTAAATTCACATATCACTTCATTCCTGATAATACTATGAGATTTAATTTAATCCCAAAAATTCTCTCAAAAAAATATCTTCCCTACATTGTTAATAAATTGTCAAAGGAGTAAATATTTTCGATTTCATGATCAAACAAATTTTTTTTCAATCTTTTTTTGTACATTAAAAATTTTCAATTAACACCGTAATAAAATCCACGGAATTTCTTTGAAATCTGTTCAAATCAAAATCACCAAATATTGAACCCATATTAGAACATATCGAAATATTTTGTAAAGAAAGATGAAAAGAGAAATTGTTAATTCAACAAGCTATTAGCAACATTGAGGTTATTAAATTTAAAATAAATTTAAAATTGTTGATTGAAAACATCGCTCCACAAGCGTCAATTAAGGCAAAGAGATCACAAGCCTGCAATCACAATTTACCTAAAATAATATGGTCAATTGTAATTATTAAATAAGTTAATCTTTAATCCTTAAGGAAATAATATTAATGAGTAAAGAATTATAATTTTTGTACAACTGAAAAAATCGATTAGCTATTTTTAGAGAATCGATCACACTGATCTATCGATTTAAGTTTAATGAAAAATAATTCAATGAATATGTAGAAAATTTGTTGCATATTTAAGTAAATCATACTTTCCAAACAATCTTTTAAATAAAAAATCTGGCGAAGAAATTACTGTTGCGAAGAAATTAAAATAAGTATTAAATCATTCCTTGATAATACTCATTTTAATAATAGCCTATTTATCGAAAATAAAATTTTCATCCATCCATCTATCCATCTATCTATTATATATAAAGCTTTCTCAATACTTCGACATTAACTATTAAACTTGACAAGTGGTTGTGTTAGCATTTTCTAAGCAAGGAGAAATTCCTTGCTGCTAATGCAAAGCTGAAAATTTATCGGATTGTTTTAAAATATTTTAATGGAAGAGTAATTTTTGATGAATCGCATTTTTTGATAAAGCAAGTGAGAGCAAAATTGTAGCTTTTAGTGAAGTAAGAATGAATGAAATGCAAAATAGTAATTTAGTTTTCTATTAAGACCAAAAAATTATTTAAAAAAAAAGCTTTTCATCACATCTCATTTTCTTGAAGCTTAAGGAAATGGAATATGGCTGAAAGGTCAAAGAGCAATATCCTAGATTATTTTCTAATCAGGAGATCGATATTCTGTGGATTATATTCCAATTGAAATGGATTAAAATTTGAAAAAAAAATTAATTCACTCTTTCATCCCAACTACTATCTTTTTCCATTAATTAAAAATTAAAATTATTGCGCATAAATGATATCAATTATGTTAATTTAAACTTATTTCCATTCTCTTTAATCCAACTATTTTTTAACGATTTTTCAAACACTTTTCGACGAAATTGAAACTGATTTAATTATAGAATTGGAGTAAAATTATGATCGTTGCACATTGTCTATCGTAAATTCACCCTACTAATTACTATCATATATAAAAACAGTAGTAAATTTAAACCATACACAGGTAAAACCCTTACCATTTTTTGCTTTTTCATGCTTAAGTTAAATTCAAAGATTGAAACTTCGATACGACTTATTCAAATTCAAAGCAGCCATACATTCTTGCCGTTAATACTGCAAAAGCCAATTAACTGTCCAATTACTGAACATAATAACGTAACTATTGTTCTTTTATATGAACTGTTCGTGAATTCAGCATTGTTTTACTTTCAATAAATTTATTCAAAAAGTTATCCGTTTGCCTGAACTTCTTACAACAAATCTTAGATGAAGCGATATAATTAATGGCGTCATATGTTACTTATGTAAAAGAATGTGAATCGTTAAAGTTTAGTTCATTTCGTTTCTCTCTTATATTTTATGAATTCATGATTGATTATTTCAGTGAAGATAAATAACGATAACAATGCATTCTAATTAACATAAATGAATATTGTCCTGCATATAGCATTATTAATCAGGGCTATTATCAGTGTTATCTGGCTGTATCAGTTCAATTTCAACAGATGAAAGAAAAACATTCATCTATCCTGTACCATTAAATTTTTATCTTTTATCAATTTCAGAAGAAACATTGCTATGAGTATACAGAATATCTGTACAATGGATGAAAAAAATTCTATCAAGATTTCAGAAAAAAAAAATTTACACAATGCTTTTATACATGGCTTTCTTTTACAAATCAAAAGCCAAATCACACATGTGAAAGTATTATCAATCAACAGTGACAAGTGGTTGCAAAACATATCCATTACGATCAAGCCGTTGCCGAAGTTCATCAATAGCTTTTGTTGGCGTTGATATTGATGACAAAACTGATGATGTAGAGGAAGATGAAGTTATTCCGCTGGATGAAGTTGAAAATGTGATAGCATTAGGATGCTGTGTTGATTCTGAAATATGAAATGAAATGTTTTTCATAAGTTAGAGATATTATTCAAAAGAATTTCAGATTTTCAAAATAGTCAATTTGTCACGCTAATTGATTCGTTCATATGATATACGGTAATACTCTTAGATTACGCACTATATTATTCTTATTCAATTTTTTTCGCATTTGAAAGATTATTTAAAAATTCTCATAGTAGAATTCATTATTTCTCATAAGCAATTCTGAAGTCTGAGAAGCGTTGCATAAATAATCTACACAAACATTTTAACTTAAAGTATGGTGATGGTAAACAGATGGAGATAATCAAAAAAATTTTTAATATGATAATGAAAATATTTTAGAGGGATTCACTTTGATCGACGTGATGATATCAGTGAAATTATTGATATCATGAAGAGGCATGAATAAAAAGAAGGAAGTAACAAGAACTGTTAATAAAATGAAATTTTAAAAATCCATTTATTACCAAACTAACTGAATAGATAATTTTACGGCGAAATAAAAAAAAAAAAACTTAAACTGTCAACAAACTATCAATACTATCGAGTAGTAAACTATATTAATATTGAATGATTCTGAAACTGTGAGGAATTGCATTATATATTCGCATATATTTGGAATAGTTTCAGCAAGCTGGTCAATTCATCCCGAAAAAAATATGAAATATTTGTTTGTTTTTCAGATTAAACATTGGAGAACATACTATTTATATTCTAAGTGCTTAATTCGCTAAAGTTAAAAATGTTTTAGGAAAAAAAAACTTCAAATTACGTTTCATACAAACAACGTATTATTGGACAGAATGTACTTTTAAACTCACGTTTCTTCTTCATTCCTGCTCCTATTATTTACAACGATAATAATCAGAGAATTAAGAGAGAGAAAACTGTGAGATGGAAATTTTGAAAAATAATAGAGATAGTAACTATTTCGTTCATATTTTGATTCTAATAGTTTACAAATAAGAATGAAAGAGAAAAATTATCTATCTACTGAAATCAACAACAATATAATTTTGCATGTTTTGGCTTACAAATATTAAGCTCAAAAAACATTCGTTGAATCGTGTAATTATGCATAACAATAATCATTTCAATCATCATAGCTATGAATGATTACATGAAGGAAAATTTATTGTAAAAGAAAAGCTTTTACTTTTCAAAGATGGAGTGCCCAAAATTTCTTCATTTTGCACATTATTTCTGATGATATTAACTATTACGAGTAATGGTAAAGACTGACAAATATTGAAAGATACAACGAATAATACTTCTAAATGATATTTTAACCATACGCAGTATATCCGAATGATCTGTATTAATTTTAAAATTTAGATTATAATTTGCTTTTTAAAATGAAGATTAATTTATATTAATTAATAGCTATTTGAGATGACAAAAAATCGGATTAGAAGTATATGATGAAGTAAGTAGGAAAAATAATAAATGAACGGAGTGTACTTCAGCACCAATCAGGATAAATAAAATAACCTAAAATGTTTTTTGACATCACTGTAAGCTATGTAATTTTATAAAATTTTACACAAACTGGTATTTTTAAAGTAATGAAAATCTTCAAAATCAAATATCTACATCAAATTATAATTTGCTAAAGAAATTTTTACTTTGCAAAAGAAATTTACTGAACAGTTCTCTGCACAATATCATGAACTTCAGTTCCTAATGTAGTCAGTAGACAATTAGAAGCTTTTAAAATTTCATTCTCAAATTCGAAACCTAACCTTGCCGTATTCCTTTCCGTTCCCAGTGATTCTTGAGTTTTGAAACAGATAACAACCCACAATCTGCTGTACCATTACTGAGAGATACTCCATTAGGTGGTTTAACTGGTGATGCATATTTTTCGATGTTCGGTAAAATATCCGCAAAAGCTGGTCTTGATTTCGGATCATGATGCCAAGCTGATGTTATCATATAAAGAATATGAGCTGGGAATTGAACAGTTGGATGTGGGGGTAAGGGTGGACGACCTAAAATCCAAATTTAAAAGTTAGACATCAATCATATAGTTAGACATCTATAACATAAAGTATCCCTAACCAGACTCATAGTAACATCATTAAGTTAACATTTTCCAATGATTAAATCCTTTAAATCTAGTTTTTTTTTTTCAGTTGTGCAATACTGAATGTCTTATTATTTGGATTGGAGCTATAATATATTAGAATGTGATGTAGTAAATTGTGGCATTTTATACACAATTTTCTTCAAAATGTTGATTGAAATCATTGATAAACTTTCAATAAGCTCAAGGAGTACATCTCAATCAGTCATTATTAATTCTGCTGCAGATTAGAATCTCGAACCTCGTTTATAAGCCATTTCTGCTGCTGCTGCAGCGGGTTTCAAGTGAGCGAACGGTAGCTCTGCAGCATGAAGCTCCCAAATACATAAAGCATAACTGAATACATCTGCTTTTCGATCGTATCGGCCACATTGAGTGAAAATTTCAGGTGCCATCCAGCGAAGATTCTATAAGAAATTACTCATAGCAAAATAGAAATTTTCAGATTCATTTTTATGAACGAATTATTGACAAAAAAATACATATAAGGAAGCAAAAAATTTCTCCAACAAAATCATACAGAAATTCAGCCTCACAACATCTGAAGAGAATTATGCAAAAATTCAAAAATTCACAATAATTTTCCTTCCGTTTATTGGCCTCTATTAGTCTCTTCGATTTTGCAATTTCAAAAAGACATAACATACGCCTGGTTGTTTGGTCATATTTTCATCGTCGTGTTGTGCCATAAAGCGTGATTCACCGAAATCCGCTACCACAGCATGTCCGTCTTCATGAAGAAGAATATTATGAGAATTGAGATCTCGATGGATCACCGGTCGTTTAGCAAGTTCATGCAAGTACCGCATTCCACGTGCAACATCAATTCCTATATTTAGACGCAACGCCATTTCCAGAACCCTTCAATAAATTTTTTTATGCAGTTATATTAATTAACTGCAGATAGCTGCCCAGATATAAATAATACTAAAGTAATGGTAGATTTTTCTTCGTTATGAAACCCTCAGATATATGAACATTATAAGCAATTTCAACTTCAAAGCTTGAATTACAATTTTGGTAACCCTTTACTTCGATTTTTCGATTTTTTAAAAATTCAAACCACTTTATAACTAACATGCTTTCAAAAAACTTACCGTTTCTGTTCATGTAGTAGAGAAAATAAGGATCCATTAACAAGAAATTCTGTGATTATTGCAAATTGCTACAAAAAATTAAATACTGACAAATAAAGATTTTAGGAGTATAAATTTAAGAAAAGCCCGAAATAGATTTCTTTAAAAGATTGAAAGCCAAGACATAAAAAAAGCTGCAGATGGATGGAGAGGAAGAAAATAAACATATAATAATAATAAAGGAAGCACAAAATTTGTAAAATGCGAAAGAATTTTTTTGAATTTCAATCGTCACGGTTTCCTCGTGTAATATCTACCCAGTTCTAATTAAAAAATTTAAATAAAACCTACACTTGGATCATCCAAGCATGCACCAACAAAATTAATTACATTCGGATGCTGCAATTTACTTAGAATTGATACTTCGCGACAGAACATATCAACTTCACTTTTCGAACCAAATGCTACAGCACGATATCTGCAGCATAATTTTTTTTTTCAGCTTTCAAGCTCAAAAACCTCACCACCTTACCAAATAAGTATAAAAACAGTTATGAATTATTTTCATAATCTACCTTTTAATGGCTACTATTTTGCCGCGATACGTACCCTTATAAACTTTCCCGAACGAACCACTACCGATAGCTTCCTGAAAGAAATTTCGTAATAAAGCAAAATGTTTATTAATACTTCATTCCTTTTAATAATAAAAAGAGAACCTGAAAATCGACGTCTGTTAGCGAAAGATGAAACTGACTGCACAGTGAAGCTCTCAATTGCAATATTTCGGCTTTTTCTTTAGTCATTGATCGTAAGCGACCAAGAGGACTAGGGAGCGGTGTATAACTGCTTTCGCCAGAGCTGAGAATTGATTCCGATTATAAAATTAATTAATATTGTTTTAATTTAAAAATAAAATCTTAATGTTCTGCTGAAGAACGATATCAGAATTTTTTTCAATAATATATTGTAATTTGTGTGGGATTTAAAAAAAGAAAGATGTAAATTAAGCTTTTTGTTCTGAAGTGCAAATACCTGTATTCTGAGCAAACATCAGAATCTGGACGTTTATTTGCATAATGTTTAAGTAAGGCAACAATCTGATCGTGACCCTTTTCATATGCCCAAATAATAGGTGTTTGCTGTTGGTCATCGTTAAGACTAGTAGATGAAATGGACGCACTACCACCACTAACTGAACTTCCGGATTCTTTGGACAATGCAAACATCTTTTGAGCTACTGCCGATGATACCGGTGTGCTACCTGAAATAAATCATAAATTGTTACTATTTTTGTCATTACATCAACAACACTATTGTTCACAGTAATATTGTCGTGAAAAAAAGTTGGATTTTGGAATTTCCTGTAGTTTCGTTAGTCTACGGCAATCTGAGAAATTAGTTTCGCGTATTACATATCTTTTGCATAAAATTAGCTCGTATAGTTTAGGCAAAAAACAAATTTCAAGGTATCAAATCTGATGTATTTGTTGCTCTCAAAAAAGAAACAGATATAACAATTAAGTTTTTCAAAACGGTATAGCAGCACCTGAATGTGGAATTAGGTAAAATAAAACAGAACAACAATTAAACCGATAAAAATCCTTGGAAAATAAAAACTTGCCTGTTTCACTTGGCAAGAGTGAATAATCAACAGCTCGAGCAGTCAATGACTGATCTGCACCATTATCTAAGAGAAATTGCACAAATCGTAAATGTCCATGATAACATGCGCTGTGCAGAGCTGGAATTTTGAAATTCATTTTGAAAACACATTAAAGCAGTTTCTAAACAAATTAGGTTATAAAATGTTTTGCAGCACCAATGTAGACTGCTAGAAGGAAAAATTTTTTGCTCCAAAAAAAACTTTTTACTTTTTTCTGAAAGGAAAAACTTTCTAATACATATGGAAAATTTAAGAAAAAGGCCCACCTACCGGTATGACCATCCTGTCCTTGAAAATTTGCATCTACACCGGGTTGTTTCAACAAAAAAGCCACCAATTCCAAATTCCTACCATTTGTACAAGCTGCATGTAGAGGTGTTTCGGAGAAAACGTTTTCCTGTATCAAATACGAAATTTATTTGCGATTTTTCCCTGATAAGAATACATTTAACTTTCCGAAAAAATTACCATATTGAGGGTAATCGATCCAGCAAAATCCAACAATCGTTTCACAGCATCCAAACGTCCTGCATAACAAGCTGTATGAAGCGGTGTGTCACCATAAACATTAGTTTTTAGAGCTAACTGAAAATGACTTAAAGAGTTATTTGGGATGTAAACGCACAATAATTGACAACAATTTGTGATTAGTCATAAACTAGGAAAACTTTCATTATTTTCGCGACTTTTCATGATCATAATCAGAACTATTTAATTATCTGGTACAATAATTTAAAGCGACTATAATTATTTAACAACCGCCCCTTAACAACCTCCCAACTATTCAAGGCTGAGGCAGCTTCAAAATTATACCCTAGTAGAGAGTTTTTTTTTTTATCAATTTAATTTGGTTGCATCTCGGCATATTTGAAAATTTCAAGCTAGATTTAATGGAAAGAAAAAGCATTTGTATGTAAAAAGTGGATAAGTGAAAGAAAACATGAGAGTTTAAAAGCAGATATGACTAATCATTGATTAAAAATCATATGATTCATTAGACAATACATACTTCTTGATGACCAGCACCAATTTTTAACAGTAATAAATCAATGATTCCAACGTGACCTGTTTTTGCAGCAAAATGTAACGATGTGTTGCCTTCATCATCAGCCAGAGTTGCTATAAAATATAGCAATTTCAAGCAATAACTATGAGAAATGATGAACAAAGCTAAGATATATACTTGAAGTTTTTGAACAATAAAATAGTTAAAATTAGTGATGTTATCGAGCATGCAGAGTATTATTTCTTCTGTGCAGTTTAAAATTTTCGAAATCGATAAAGAGTTTAAAAAACAAACGATCAGCATCTGCTTCCAAAAGTGCAGAAACAATACTGATCTGTCCTTTATTGCTGGCCAAATGTAACGGTCGATCACGTACTCCACCACATGCATTTGGATCAGCTCCATATTTCATTAGCAAGCGCACTATCTGCAAGGTCTCATTTTACTAGAAAAAAAAACAATAATTCAGCTACAGTTGAAAGTTTTGTGAGATAAAAACTTATCATTTGAGTCTCAACTAATATGCTCTTTAAAAGTATTTCAAACCTTTTCATGAGCAAAATAAGTAGCGCAATGAAGTGGAGTGAAATTCACAAAGTCAGCAATTTGTAACGAAGCGCCTCGATTAATCAGCTTTTCCACCATCTCAATGTTACCACACATTACGGCCAAATGAAGGGGCGGTAATTTGTTCCGACCCGCAAAATCAACATCTGCCCCAGCTGCTAGCAACTTTTCCACCGTTTCCATTTCATCCTAATAGCAGTAATGACAGCAATAAAAGTTAAGTAATTAAAGAGGATGAACTTCACCATTAAAATTTCATTTTTTAAACTTAAGATTTAGATGGAAAGATTCATAAACACTTATTGTAGTATTTCACAGAATATGAAAATGATATAAACAATTTCTTTTGGACGAGAAAACAAAGTAATGTAATCAAAGGAGTACAAGTTCAGATATACTTCCAATTTACAATTATTGATCAGCAGTAAGTTGTACGACGATAGTCATTTATCATACAAAAATTGATAAAATACTTTAAATTTATTTTAGTATTCTTAAAAACTTGCCGTGATCAATTGATTGTATCAATGACAAATTTTTAGAAGTATTAAAGTAATCAAAATAGAAAGTTTTTAAAAAATAATAATCAAAAAATAATAATAATAATAAAAATAATGTTTTACCTTGTACACGGAGAAATGAAGAGCAGAAAAGCCATTTTTAGAAAGATGTTTGAGCAGTAATTCCTTTTTCGTCTCATCACCACCAAACGCTTCAAATAGAATGGCAACTTTTTCAGGTTGCTGAAACAAAATTTTAAACTTAAATTTCAAAAAAAGCTAAGAATAAGGAAAAATGCTGTTGATTAATTCTTGGCTAGATGATTAGAGATACCTGCTCCGAATGTCCGGCACAAATTAGATGCAACAACGATAACTGATGATCGTCGGTACGCTCCTCTAAATTTTTCAAACCTTTCAACGATTCTTCTAGTGTTTTTAGTGTACCTTGACTAAAAAAAAAGCCTCATTATTTGCTACTGTTAACAATTAATCCGCTTTTTCCTATATTATTATATTTAAATTTTAAAAGCTCTTCAAAAAATATTACAACAAAATTTTTCTTCAATTTATCTTAAAAAAAATTAAACCAAAATTAACTTTTTCAATGCATTTATCTAAACTTACAAGCATGCATTCTGCAGCACATTCCATGCATCAAAACGTGGCTTAATATCATCATTCAGTCTTGATCGTACCACCGCATAACCCTCACTGATTTTTTTCTTCAATTCATCTGCGAAAAACAAAAATTAAGTGAACTTTATGATACAATTTAGCTAAATTTTACAAAAAATGATCCGTTTTGTTGGATAAATTGAAAAATTTCCTTCTTAAATCATAATTCTATTAAAAATAAACTTTTTGTTCAACATAAAATAAATAAATAAAATAAAATAAAACCTGCACATGAAGATGGTGGACGTGATTTGTAATTACCCATATATGCGTGTAGCGTCACCAAATATTACATGAAGTATAAGGGATGCGTCACCTCTTATCAAATATATATTGAAGAATTGTGCTCAAATATTCTTGCAAGAGAAGAAGCTATGCTTCAAATATTACAGCTAAAAGAGACAGGCGCTCTTCCTCAGTATATGCAAGCAAGCAAGCAAACAATTACACTCAAGCCACCCATTCTTCTGCAGCTGTCCCTATTACCTCTCATTCCTTCCCTCTCTCTCTCTCTTTCTCTTCCTCTCTTTCCCTTTCTCTCTCTCTCTCTCTCTCTCTCTCTCTCTCTCTCTCTCTCTCTCCCTTTCTACATTATGAGCTGATGAGCCGTTATGGTAGTATTGTCTGCAAATGCAGTAAAATGCATTTCATTACAGGCTTTACGTATTTCTGTAGGCAATCGGAGGAAATATTTATACACCGGAGGAATAATGTTTACCGACGAAGGTCAACTTGAAACTTTTATGAAAGTGATCGGGAGGAAATTCGATGTGATATATTCCAAGAAATATATCACATATGTAAGAGTGGTGCTTCAGCTAAGGTCACTCACTTGGCACTTGACACTTGAACTAAACCCTACTTCTGACTTAAATAAGGCTTTTAATTAAAAGGCCTACCTGAAACTGTAGTCATATCCGATCTGTATGATATTACATCGTACTGAATGATTAGCCTAACTTGCAAAAACTATCATGCTGTTACGCAACTGAAATAGCTGCACAGGGAAACGTTAACTTTGAATTGCAAATAGCTAATCAAGTGATGACTTGTGTTTATTGTAAAAAAAATGAATCACTGATAAGCAATAATTATGCTCTAATTCACAAAATGATCTTTTCTTAGTGTCATTTACAAAATAAGGAAGCATTATTATAAGCATTGACCTGAAAATAAAATATGATCTCGAGAATGAAACATGTTACTCAATGTTCAATATGTTAAATTACTGATAAAAACTTACCGCTAATTCTTATTACCAAAAAAAATTAATATTTAAACTATTTGTCTTCAAAAAATGCCTCCAAAGGTTCAAATCTCAATATTTGAAATAAATATTCTTTCCCTATCTGGAAGAATTAGACGATTGAAATATTCGAGAAAACATTTTTTCAATACATTTTTTTTTACATTTGCCATGAAAGATTTAAATATTCAAATAAAACTTTTTGCCTTATGGCACTTTGTTTATCCTAACCGTAAGCATTAATTTCTAACCGCAAGCATTAATTTCAGATTGCTGTATTCCAAAAATAGATAATTTGTACGGAAAAGATGGCAAGAAACAGGAATTAATTATTATCTGGTAAAATACTACCAATTCGAAAAATACCAATTTCAGGTCAAATATAGAAAATGTATCTTTTATTTATAAAGTAATTATCAATACAACATGTTTACATTTAAAAATATATGTTATTTTTGTGCAAAATGAAGAGCAAATCATCCTGATCGCCAACATTTATCTCCCTTTGACAGGCCTTAATGTGTGACAATTCAAATCCGGTAGTTTTACTGATAAGCTCAAAGATTAAAAAGCTAGTTTGAATTCAATCTAAGAGTTTGCACTGGAAATTTGATCTTATAAACAACAACAACAACACTTATAAAATTGTTAAAATTTATTTTTGAAATGAATCAAAATCAACGTTAATGCTCCCATATACTGAATAATGTCTAATTCAGAAGTTAAATTGATCAGTAAATTCATTGAATTGATCAAAACGATTTGTTCAATTGATCAATATGATTTGTTGAATTAATCAGTATATTTTGCTTTTTACGCACATTAGTTATACTGCCTAATATAAAAAGAAGCCGACAGATTACGCTGAAATTTCTAATACTATCTCAAAATATATGGAATAGTATAAGAAACAATAAATTTCAGCAATATGCTTCCGTTCCTGAAATTTTAATTTTAATAAATTTCAGGAACGGAAGCATATTCCAAATAGCAATAGGAGTTGTAACATATGCTAATTTAATATTGCTTTATTAATTTTTGCAAATTTTGCGCGCAAATGTGCTAAGTTCAATCGAATTTAGATCAATTTAGGTCAAATTTAGATCAAAGCAGATAGAGGACATACTGCATTCTAATGTTAATATTTACATACAAAATAATGTATAATTTATCTATGCTATTTTTTTTTTAGTTCATATTTCACTTTTTTCTTAGTTCGGTAATAGATATTAGAAAATAATGAAGAAATGAAAATTGATGAAAAAAAATTATGAAAAGATTGTTAACGCTTAAATTAGTAATTTGAAATGTCTTTCAATAACATTAAAATAGTTGTACATATCAGAAAAAAAAAAAGAATGATCTGCAATTTGAACTTTTCCAATTTCAGAAAACCAGAAATGATTGAAGTTATTTTCTCTGTTTGCAACCTTATGCATTTTTTCTCTATTAAAGTTAAACTTTAAATAATTCAAATTTTTCACTTTTTACTCAACGAATTAGCTATTTCCAATCCAAAGTAAAGTTTATTTAAAGTTTAACTATTTAATTTGACTTTTAATAGAGAAAAAAATACGGAGAAAAAAGGGTTTTTACTATAAAATTATTTTAATTATCTAGTTCAAATTTCAGGTACTAAATAGTTATGGCGTATGTCGTAATATAAGGGCAAAGGTACATTTCACGTAAAATTTGATCGATGGAATGTTTCGTATAATTAATTGATTATCATGTATCACAGCAACAAGGATGGATCAATATTGAAACACTTCCGGATAATATCAACTGGACAGCTTTCCGTACCGTACAACTAAGATTATAAATTCCGTACATTCTGAAATCTCCTTTGAGCAACTTACCATATTTTTTTTTGGTTATCGTTGTGATGAGGAATGCCTAAAATAACGAGAGATTCCGCAAGAAAATTAACGAGAAATTTAACCATCCATGTAAAATGCTCCTTTTCGTTTCTTTTTAGACAAATCAGTACCATACATAGTTGCGTGTTTTACGTTTCTCGCCATGTAACAGCAAACATATACAATTCATGTACAGATATTTTGACCTCAGTAGCAATAATGCCATGAAAATAAGCTAGTAAAGCACCGAGTTGTTTGTTATTTCCTGCGAAATACTAAAATATTACAGTTGATAAAAGTCTAAAATGAAACATGCATCAAATTTGTTTTCAATTTTAATTTCAAAAATAAACATGAAAATTTTGGAACTTGTTACCGAATTAATTGAAACAAAACATGTTAAAACGACATAAATAATACACATATGAACATGAAATAAACATCAATGACAGTATTATATAATACACATATGAACATGACATAAACATCAATGACAGTATTGAAAAAAAAAAATATGAGACAAATGAACAGAAAGGAAAAATGCAAAAAAAAACCGATTCCTGTCAACCGAATCATACTTAGAAACCACACAACCTGGAATACCGGAAATGTCTAAATTTAACAACAAATCATGAAAGAAATGTGAAATGGAAATTAATTACAAAATAAAAATGAAAAATAAACGAAACGTCAAAGATAAATAGTGAAGTACAGCAAATGAGGCAAGAATAAGTGGGACACAATGAGCTTTTTGAAAAATCAACAAATAACAAATAACGATAATAAATCGAAGCTGAAGCGATATAAATGATATACTGCAAAGTGATATCCCTTTCTTCTTATCAAAACTGATAAGTTAACACCGCAGTTTTTCAACAAACAAGATTTTGGGAAAAGAAGAAAAACACAGTAATTCATGAAAATAAATAAATTACGAATATGCATGAATTGATGTTATAATGTAAAGGATATGATAATTATCACCGTTAATCGACCTAAAAATCTATCAAATTATTTGATCTAACAAAGTATCTACCACAGAAATTCGCAAATTCTCACCATAATTACCATGAAGATCAAACGGAAGGAAAAGGAAAAAATATTTTTCATTAATTCATTAAAATTCGATAAATGATAATTTAAAAAAACAGAAAAATGAAAAGAAATTGTACTTAATACACATAACCAATTAAGAAATTCCCTCAAAACAAATAATAATAGTTTTAATAAAAGGGAAAAAATTTTCTCAACAAATTTTCTCGCAGGAGATTAAGAAGAGAAAGAGTTCGGAAAGATTCTAAGTTAATTTTCGAATTTAAAAAAGTTGATACTTTTGGAATCTATTACATAATACTTGAAGAGTGAATAGCATATAGCGCAGAAGTCATCATGTATAATGAGTTTGTAAATTTATGCACTTTAAAAATCAATGGAAATACGATGAAACGCCAGATATGCAAGATAGTAGCAAGCTTATTGTTACAAATCGCTATCATCATCGTAACTCTTATCACAATAACCATTATCATGATAACCGCTGAAACCAGCAACCCCAGTCATTGCTGACATTATTTCCCGTTGTACATTGGTATTTACTGCAGTCTTTACCAGATCCGATACTTTTTCCAAAACACGTGATATTTGAAGCTGATGTTCAACTGATTTCTGAAACAATTTTCGAATAATTTAAAATGATTTCATTTCAGATGCATTAAATAAGTTTCACTCTCACCTTTATAGTAATTCATCTCTATCTCTTTAAATAGCGCATTTGTTTTATACAAACATCAACTTATCAGAACACAAACAAAAAATCTAGGAAACAGAAATTTCATTAAAATGTCTACAAATTTAAATGGATAAGATTAAGAGATAGGCACAGACTGGAAAGCATGATAGGTTTAAGCGTACAATTCCAGAAGAAAACAAGCTATTTAACCTTTACTAAATTAGCAGTTAATCTTACCTGCAATAATTCATTTTTTAATTGTTTAATTTCAGCATCACGATCAGCGATAATGGCCAATAATTCCACTGATGACAGACCGGGATTCGCTGAAATACGCTGACCAACATTACCAGCATGATTCACGAACCCTTAAAAGGATAATTCACACTGTACTACTGTATTACCCGAACATCAGGAAAGATTATTAAGAAGAGGAAAAATCACTAAAGCGTTACTGTTTCAGATATGCCGGATGATAACCTGTTTCCATTAGGATCAAACAGAAGCACAATTAAGATCAAAAAGATCAGAATATTAATTCCTACTTTCAACACCCTAGAATTATCCTTTTTCTACAATAACTATTAATAGGTGGTAAATGCAGTAATAATATAATGGGCTTGAAATGTAGCACATTTAATTATTGTGTGTTTTTTGCAAAAATACGTTTAAGATCCCGCTCTTGAAATCATGAAAACTAACCATTTTTCAAATCGATATTAGATTTTCGATCTCTTAATGTCAATCGAGGTAAAAGAGTTGGTGAACCAGCCCGTATTTGAGAAGTACCACTGGTGGCACCTGTTCCATTTGACACCGGAGTTACCAAACGTGTTAGCAAATCAGAATTACTCGATGATGCATCCGAATCCAGACTATAACAATAAGAAAAAAAAAATTATAAATCTATTTTATTTGCTCTGTTTAATAAAACTTAGAATTTTTAACCGATCCACCTTAACCTAATTATCTGGATAATCTTTCGTCCCACATTTTAATCCTTCTCTTCAATTCTGCTTCCTTTTTTTGAAGAAATTAAAAATAACAGGAAGAGCGATTTCACCTCTCTATGATTCTTTTTTTTTTAATTGTTACTTACTCAGCCGAAGCAGCTCCATTAATGCTACCCGTATCGGATCGTGATATACCACAAGTCCCACTACCATTGTTAGTAAAAGAAATCATTTGAGATTTCCGCCTGTAATTTGCATAAAGTTTCTTAGTTTGCTCTATCGTTAAATCACCCAGTTCAGATCCATACTTTTCATTGGTTGAATCGGTGATCTGTTTCCAAACTTGATTACGTTCAGCATTAATATGATATAACCTGAAATATTAATAGCAAGCTGTTATCATCGAAAGAAAACAAACATTCATTAAATTATCTTAAGTCAAAAATAAATTAAATGAATGCTAAAGAATAAATCTGTAAATTATATATTAGTTGAAATACTGCCATATCAACTTCCCATAGAACTGCTGTGTTTATTTTATTTAAATCATTTAACTAAAAAAGTTTATTTCAATATTTTCATTTGTATTATTTCTAAACGAAGTAAAAAAAATAGTTATTCAAAAGAAGCATTCACTATAAAAAGGAGTAAAGAAACATATATAAAAAAGAAATCTGAAAAAAATTACAATTACCAAAAATCCTCTAAAGAAATGAAAAAAAAATTTTTTAACAAAATGAGCGAAAAAAATATTTGAATAAAATATTTGAAATAAGAGGAAAAATTAAGAATAGAAAATAAAAAAGAAACAAGAAAAATTAACGTAAAAGAAAACAAATTATAGAAAAAGCAAATCAATGAGGTGGAGAATGAGTAAAATGTAGTCTAATAAACCATAGCATACCTTGAATGGCTATCAAAGACACCGTTAAATGTTTCAGCTAATTTGCAAACATATTGCCCACGTTCCTTCTTCTGTTGATTTGCAATGACTGTTGCAGCAGCAACAGCTGCAGCAGCTTGCTGTCCAGGTAATACTAAGCCATCAGTTGAGCTGGACGATGAAGAAGCTGAGCTGAAAAATTATTTCATCTCAGCAATTATTAATTTCTGGTAATTCAATGGAAATTACAGTTCACATTAAATTATTTTAACATCAAGTTTTAGTTAAGTTTACATTAAATTCTTTCAAAAAAAAAGTGTGAGTGAGGCACATTTTAATGTTCCCTTCCTGTAGTTAATGGGAAACAAACTTAAAATTTAATCTTATATAAAACAAGAAAAAGAGATAGAGAGGTAGAGAAAAGGAACAAAAAAAGAAGGAAAAATTATTTTAAATTAAAATCAAGAATGCAACAAAAATTAACCATTGTGCAAGAAATTGTAAAAGATCTTTTGATGGTTTATCATCTTCTCGTACAATATCTTCCATCGGTAAAGGAGTATTCTCTTCTGCTTGTTTCATTTTTAACGTATCTAAAAATACCGCTCAAATAATTAGTAATAAAAATTAATTAATAATGAGAATAATTCATATCGGAGATATCTGATTAATTAAAATCTCATTTCTAAAGATCTCTTTTTTCTCACACTTGATAAAATTATTATGGAACTCGATAAGCTACTTTAATACTTTAAAAATGAAAAAAATTTTTTTTTGCCAGAATTACTTATACAGTTATTTTCAGTTTATATTATTCGATAATGATTACCAAGACATGTAGCTATAAAACTGTCCATAAAAAAAATAAATGGAATAATTTTCTAATAAAATTAAGAGAATTTACTTGTATCACAACAAATACCATCTACTACATCGTTCGCTTCAAGTAATTCATCAACATCGATCGGTTCATCAATTTGTCCATTTGTGGTCACATAAGCTGCCGCATTACCAGCTGCTGCAATTGCAGCTGCAGCTTGCTGCTGTTGCTGTTCCTTGTATGTACTTGGAATTAAATCGGAATGCACAGCATGGAATGCAAGTCCATAATTGGTCGGATCTTTACGCTTGTAATATTTGCATAATTTTTTGCATTGCTCAAAAGTTAACGTATTTAAATGGGAATATTTTTTATTAATTTCCTCCGTTATTTTGCGCCAAATTTTATTACGCTCCATATTTGCAGCTGGTGAACGTGAAGCACTATCCTGCAAATAGGAAGAAAAAAAAAAGAAAATGTATTAATTTTTAAACAGTCTATAAAAAAAATTTTTTTTAATTCAAGGAAAAAAAGGGAACAAAATTTTTATTAGATAAGAAATAATTTTACTTATTAGGAAACATGAATCTGCTGTATGACTGGAATGAAAATGTAGTTTGATTTTATTTCAATCAAATATAATTTAAATTTATATGGTTAAAAAAATTTTTTTTATGCTTATAAAAAGTTAGAAAAATTAAATAAATGTAATATCAGAAGATGTCAACAAATTTACCACCAATGCTTCATATCGACCTGCCATTGCGACAATTTCCAAACCTCGTTCACGATTCATACGATTGATATCTGCAGCAGTTATCAAAGGCGCTTGGCTAAAACTTAATTTGATTTTTTTTATCTTTTCAATTAAACATTAAACAGATAAAATTCTGCTCAAAAAAAACAAGACTTAGAGTTATATATTGTTCTCTTATTTTTTCCAACATTTTTTTTTCTTTTTCAATATTTTTTAAGGGACATTTAAATAGTCAATATTTCCAATATTTTATAAACATTTAAATAATCAAAGAATTTAAGATGATTTTACAGATGAGATGAATGCATTAAAAAAAACAAATTTACATTGAGGAACCAAAAACTTGTGCGAGCGATTTTTCATTAGCATGCACCAAGTCAGCCGTATCGTAAGGTGAAATAATTTGCTCCGATATTATATCCATGGATGGTTGCCTAAAAAGCTTTTTCAATTCAATATCATTTCTGATTGATATTTCATTTTCATTACTAAATTTCCTGTTTAAATTTAATTTCTAAAAAAATTGATAATTTAATTTATTTATGTGTTTGACTTTATTTATTTATAGAGCATATTAAATCTCTCTCGCATTACATCAAAATTTATTACTATGAAAACTATCAACAATACCGTTTGATCAGAAGCTGTAAAATAGAACATTGCGCTAAACTTTCTTCTTATCTTACAATTCAATATTAAAATGTCGGTATTTTTTTTCTGTAGCAATGAATAATACACAAATGGAATGTGTTAGCTCTAACGCTAACTAAAGTACAATTCTTCCTAATTTGTAAATAAGTAAATAAGATGAATTCGGAGTCACAAACCTGCTTTGTAAATCATTATCTTCGCTCACTACAACTTCCACCTCACTTTTCGGCATTTTTATCTTTGGACTAAAACAAAACAAAGTGTAAAAATGAAGTAATAGTAAATTTTATATTGAATAAAAAGTAATTAATTATTACACAAGAAAATATTTTTTTTCTTGTCCAAAAAAAAACAAAAATGGATTTCAGTGGAAGGAAAGCTAAGAAATCTTTCTATAAAGCTTTCAAAAAATTCATTTTATTGCGAAAACAAAAACAAAAAAAAAAAAAAGAAAGAAACGAATTCTAAACCAACTCGCAATCACTTTGTTCATCGCTGTTTGCATTGCTGGCACTTCGTTTTGCGGCTTGTTTTTCTGATTCTGCCGGTGCTGATGATGATGGTGTTGGCGATGAAGCGGTTGGAATTTCATTCATCACTTCTGAAAGATGTTTTGAGCAAATGAGACGTAAGATACGTTCAACGGCACGTGAAACACGTTGCTGCTTTTGTTGCTTTATGTCCAGCACTTTTCTGAAATTAAAACATGTAATTCTGGGAGAAAATCTAAAATATAACAAAAATCTTTTGTAACGCACAAAAATTAATCGTCACTGAAATATTCATTAAATGATATTTTAATTTGATGAATTTTTAAAGCTTTAAAATTAGGAGATATAATAGAAGACGAAAAGGATCCCGTTTTGCGGAATTTTAACAACCTTTCAAATAATTTATTTGATTTGAGGGCGAATTAAGAAATTCTTCCTCAAATTGTACACATCATCCTTTGAAATTATAAAAAAATTTTATCCGGTTAAACATTCTCACAATAAATTATTTTTTTTCGGAAGTGAACTGAAAAAAAAAAAAAAAACTTTGCTTCCGATATGTTTTAACAGTACTGATCGTTTAGTAATTTGTTAAATTGTTGATCAATTTGCATAGAACTATTCCATCTTATTATCTCTTAGCAAAATTGATAGTAATGTTAATCATCAATTTAGTACAATGATAAAATTCAAAGTAATTGATCTAATTTTGGGAACTTTTTGTAAAACTGTTTATTAGAAAGAATGGTGGACAATCGGTTGAGGAGAAGTATGATCAAATGAAACCAATAAGAGAGCTATAAAATGGATAAAGAAAATGATATGATAATGATATGGATATATTCATACTGTCACTAACTGCAATAATGCATGAGCGGATTCTCTTGTAATTCCTATGAGAGAGAATGAAGTGTAGCTAAGTTCGAACTGAATCAGTTCGAAAAGTAGGAGAGATCTGAAGACCGGGTTACGGAATGTAACACTTTAGATGACGGAAAACTGTGTCGAATTGGTCGTGTGTATTTGTCGTATGAGTAGTGTTTGATGTTCATTTTGTGACGGCCGATCAGACGACGGATGGAGTACAAAAGGTAAAGAGACGCGGGAAGGACAGGTAGTGGTGTGCTCGACCCGACCGATTGCTCCCATTTCTGGTGCTCCATCCGCTATATTTGGTGGTCCCATTCGCCATAAAAATCTATGAAAATTGGGGTTAGGTTTTACTCGTAAGATATTTCATGGTAAATAAGAATTAAAAAGCAAAAAAAAAGAGTGAGGTAAAAAAATAAAATGAATAAAAAAATTTCATTAAGTAATGAAATGAACTAATCAAAGTATATAGATTAATTGTTTGTTGTTATTGTTATCGTTGTTGCTGTTGTTGTTGTTGTTGTTGTTGTTGTTGTT